GGGGGTGGCAGCGCCTTTTTGTGCTCTGCGTCTCTGACACCGGTGGCAGAGTGCATAGAGATGGATTCCTCTTCTAAAAGTTAGGGGAGGAGCTCCAGGGTGGAGAGATGATTATCTCGTGCTAACAGCTGGGATGGAGTAGAAATTGAACATCCAATTTGTTCATCCACCCCGGAGCTCCTTCCCTAACTTTTAGAAGGGGAGGAGCTCCGGGATGGGTGAGATGATTAGATGGGGGTAAGAAATGAAGAGACGCAGAGCACAAAAGGGCCTGGCACCCCCCAACTACATTTTCACCCCGTGTGGACTTTTTCAAATAGAATTTTCAGAGACATAAGTCTTATTATCTAGACAATTTTCTCGGAGATGATGAGAACAATGATGAAACTTCAGATGAAGAGATATTCATTATTACGAAAACACGCAGGTAAGCATGTTGTTTCCCAGCGATTTCATGTCTTTCAAGTGAAAAACGTTTTCATCATAATATAGTATTTTCTGCTTGTTTAGGAGCACTGATAAAGCCTCTGCAGTCGTCGAGGACCACGAAAGCAATGATGTGTCAGAAGAAACCCTGGAGAGAATGTCAGTTCCTCTTTGAAGCGTAGTGAAGTCCTATGACAAGAAATTCTGCCTTTCAGCAATACATCTGGTGCTCCTGTAGTTGGACAATCGATTGTTTTTGATCGGGTAAATCAAGAACCTTCTGGTCCCACCCAACATGATCACCACAGTTCTCGTGTGAAGGTACGCATCCATAAACATAAACAATCCATTACACCACATTAGATTGAGCATTTTCAGATACAAATCGTACATCACCCATTCGAACGGCGAAGATCTTCATTTGCTATTCAGTAGTTTTGTTATAAAAGTGGTTTTCTAAAACTATCATTATTTTGTGTAGAGTGGAAAGTATTTAGTTACTAGTAGTTAATTTACTGATAAAGTAGTATACCATACGAAACACCACTGTATCGCAGCTGCTCCACCACAGCGTGGATATAATACAATAGAATACAACACAACTTTTTGTTTCATTGAGCAAAATATCGTCATTATCATATCAGTGACGTTTGGAATTATGCGGTTGTACAATTACATTTCCATATAATTGCAGAACTGCGGAATTCCAAACAACCTTTGACCTTCCACATGGTTCTGACAATAACCAGCAAGCTGGTCAATTGACCCTAGGTGGTTTCGGGGATGGAATACCACAGAGAACATACTACCTCTTCCTTGTGCAGAAAAACCGTTTCTACAATGAGACAGTAGCATGAAGGAACACGAGGAAAGATTTTCTTGAAATTCAGTAAAGTAGTTGTAGCCCTGAACATGCTCACACTGACCTTTGTAAGGCCTACACTTACACCCGCTTCAAAGAATTTATATTACATCTTGCAGATATGTATCATATCAACTATACTACTAGTAAATCCGTGACAAGACCCATAATACTTATCTTATAGTAAATGATAACACTTCAATACATAGGAGCATGATTGCAGAAAAGGCAAAAACAATCAGAGAAACTGCTACTGAAATATCTCTAGATCACAATTCAGAAAAAAAAAATTGAAATTTACCGCGAAGAAACAAACCGGAAAGATAGAACAAGCAAACTTGGTCTTAAAAAACTCGTTTCAGAAACTAAACATTATTCATCACGTTTAATATAAAACCCAAAAGAGCAGAGGCTAAGGTACCTTGTCTTAGTCCAAGATCATAACAACTAATAACTCAACCGTAAAAACAAAGAAGTAATATGCATTGAGGAAAGTGAAAAAAAAATATTTCAAATAACACAATAATACAAGCATTAATTAAACGTTGATAAGAAAAAGCTAACGATTCACCTTTACCAGCATTAAACTCTCACTCACGTTCCTTGCCAGGATGGGCGAGACTATGATGCCTGATTTCCGAAAGATTGATATGGAATGAAAATGGCCTAAATTCGATATACAATATTTTTACAATTTAGAAAATATATAAAGTGGCGCATTTACAGTATGGCCTAGACAGACCTCAATCCTCTTCCACTTGTTCCTCCGCTTTGATCGCGACGACAAAGAAACAGATTGCAGCACCGGCTCCTCCAAGGCACAACACAAGAAGCTGCCAATGAAGCAGAAAGATGGAGCTATAGTAGAAGGAAGCACAGGCCGCTAGTGACTGAAAAGACGCTACTTAGACATACCAGTCTTAGCTAGTAGTTTAAGTTAAAACACGCAAATGGAATATCACATCAAAAAAGATTAACTTAAAAAGTTATTCGGCAACCCTTCCAAAAGGGAGAAAATGGATCTGTCTCTCAACTGATGAGCGTACAGCATCCTGTGAGAAAGGAACCTCGAATGCCATTTAAGGTCATACTCCGTTACTGAACAGTTAGGGTGCCCAGTATCGTCCCTAACACATAAATTGACATTGGATCAATCAATAAATCGTAGCAGTCACAATCACGCAGATAGTTGCTAATGGTTTTTCTCACAGCGTCAACTTCAAAATTTTTGATGAAGTATTCAACAGAACTAAGCATTAAAGATTTTGAATGGAAACGGAACAGCAGATGGGACTGAATTTATGAAAAAAAAACAAAATATAATTAGGTCCTTACCTGGAAAAACTTAAAAAGAGCAAATGCACATGAAGACTCGTCCTTGTACGCGACACCAATCAGGGTGTAAATCTGAGTGTTCCAGCACGAATCAGCAAGCCCAAGGAAGTAACCAGTCATTATTGCGAGGAAAACGCTGTAATTGTAAAAAACGGTGTTTTTTAACAAGATTGAAACCATTTAAACGGCTACGAGTAAACTCACGGAAACAAAGCATAGCCCTGAGAAACTCTTGCAGTGGAAACTTTTTTGTTACTCGAGAACGAAAAAAAAACATGACGGTACGAAAGCTCACCTTGGTTCAATGTACCCAATAGCTGAAGTTTTATGCAAAGGAGCCTCCATCGGCAGATTGAGGAAGCAGAAGAAGAATGCGGTTATGTGGAGAACCATGCCAAGGATGACGATTTGTGAACGATTCATTCTGTTACTACGAGGAAACACACCAAACAACAAACCACCTAAACAAAAATAATAACATTTTTGATTAGAAATCGTGTCCAGGCCGCCTGAGGTAGCGATATGAGTTTTCGAATTAAATCAAACAGCTAAACAACAAGCAGTAAATCAAATCACCGGTAATCTGTCCAGCACCCATCGCGAACACCGCATATGCGATTATTTTCTCTGAGCCTCCATTCAAAGCGGTAGCAGCAGATAAACATGCTGTGTACACTCCTAAGAATTTGAAAAATCAGTTCAGTACAGGCACATACTTAAAATAGTAAACTCGTACCTGTATAGAACGATGTTTCGATGCCGCTGTACAGAAAACACACTGATAAAAGCATCATCTCTCGAGTGGCCAGAAGAGAGAACGTGTGCTCTACGAGTATGAAATGTCACGGGAACAGGAAAGAAATGTTCCTGGTTGAGTAAACTTACTGAATTCTTCCCGCCAATCTCGTGTTGTGGTAATGTCGATAGGAGCTGAAACATCCAGCTCATCCGAATTCTCATCAAAAAGCGGATCTTGGAGGTTATCGTCTACTGAACAAATGTCCGACAAGAGTGAAGATTACACTTCTCACCACAACACACATGCAAAACCTCTACATTCCTCTACAATCGAAGTTTACTTACCATTGAGTGGCGGGCTCGATGGAAGTAGGCACAGGGTGATGATGCCCACCGTTGAGACAACAGCGAAAGCGCTGTAGAGAAAGCGGTACGAGGAGTAGAGGTCACTGGAAAAGTGATTGGTTGTTTTTCAGGTCGTAGACCACAAGCCAGCTGAACGTAGGCTAAGAAGGCCTGTGGTTGATGTGCACTATTAATCGACCAAACACAGGCGTCCCTTCTACTCATTCAAACGTGGAGCTGGGGACACAAAGCAAAAAGGATGAACAGGACTTTTTCTGAAACAAAGTGTACGGGACGCTCACCCATAGCTGAGAACGAAGTACAAGAAAATCGCTCCGGCAACCAGCGATGACTGCAACATTGCCCACAGAATCCCGCTATTACGGCCCATTTTTCCCTGCCGCGAGAACTGCACCAGATATGCTCCATTTGCAGTCCAAATAACTAAAACGGAATCAAGATGGCACTAGAAACTAAAAGCCAGAATGTATACGACTGGCCTCTCTCAATGAAGCCTGAAAGAAGGAATGACTACTTACTTGCAGCACCAAATCCTAAAACTGCAGAGAAAAGATACAGCCTCCAAGCGTTAAGAACCAGAAACTGAACCATAAATGACATGTAACAAACTGCTCCCACCACCTGTAAGCTCATTCCGTAAGTTAAAGCCGATCCAGCGACAGAGTTTAACTCACCTGTGCCCACTTTGCCCCAAGAACATTGATTATGGGAGGTGCAAATAGATTGAAAACAGTAAAAACAAAGTAGATGATGGCCAGACTGAAAACTGCTGAATCAATTACCAAAAAATTGGTAAAAAAAAATATATGCTTGTTTAATTAAGGTAAAAAAAATACCTGTAGTAACCGCTATTCGAGGTGATTCCTGATGCCGGATCATGCTGAGATAGACTTCTCAGCACCGATATCTGGAAAAACACTACAACTTCAACACAAATCCCTTGTTTAAAATACCCGAAACACTCTTACTTCAATGAATCCTTGGGAGTTGAAGGCGGAAAAGACAGTAAAGAAAGCAAACCCCAGCTGTAGAATTGTAAGGAGATCCTTCCGCATACCTGAATCGAGAATGCTAGCTAAAGACCACCTCAGAGTAAAACCGAGTCCATAAGTTGGATCAGAAACCATTTTGCACAATGCACGGCACCGAAATATCTAAATAAACAGTTTATTAACTGTTTACGTTGAACGTAGTAAAGCACGCGCTGCGAGAGCGCGCACTCTGAAATTGCGATTGGAGCGCGCTATCATTAGCTATAGGAAGACATTCGCGCTATTCTTAAGGATTTTATTAATTCTCTATGAGTTCTATGGAGTTTCTCGGAGCTCAAGGGAAGAATAAAAAGCATTCGCAATAGTTTCTAAAGATTCTCGGAACGGACTCACCAGATAACGCTTGTTTCGCTGTTTCGAGACTTATTTTTGGACGGATATCCATTTGGCAATTCGTATTTTACAAAATGGAATGATAAAAACCTATTTTCATAAGGCAAAAATGAGACAGCCTGCCCAGAACCTGAAGAAAGCGAAACGGGCTACCTTTAGAGCTGGGACTCGATTTTTCAGTAACTCCATTTAAAGAGAGAAATACGTTGAGTGAATTTCAAACTTGAAGTTGAACTTTGGAGCTAATCACACAAAAATGAAATTTGAGGGACGACTTCTGGATATGGAATATTTCTGATCTGCAGATTCTCCCGAGTCCTCGTTGACCTGAAATGGCGAAGGATGAGCGATGAGCACTATCGAACGGACCAGCACTAATACTACTGGTTTCCTCTTCAATTCTGGTCTGTGTTACTGTTTATCAAACTGTAAATGATATTCCAAACTCTAGGTTCTTTTTTGCTAAATTACGTTTTCCGAATACAGCCAGTTCACTTATCAACATCATATCTGTGATCGAATTATTAGTTGCAGCATTATAGTGAGGGTTCAGATTTTTGCGTGATTGTTCATTTAGAATTGCCCATCATCACTAATGGCATGTAAACTTTTCATGCGATAAGGAAGTTTTACAAAATCGAATTGATGCTTTCCTTCGTACCGAGCTTGAAGATCTTCCGCTACTACAAGACGTGATCCTTACAGCTTTCAAGGTTGAGATAGTGTCGCACCATTTCTTTTCTAAAGAGATTGCACGAAGACAGACTCACTCCATGTTTACAAGGAAAAATACCCTTGTAGAACGCAAGTATCGCTCAAATACTTCACAGAGATTAAAGGTTCGATGGTGAAAATGCTCAAGAGTGAACTCTCAGAAGTGCTGCACCTGGCCTCCTGCTCAGTGCACCCACCACCTTCACTTGGCAAATCGATGCCGTCGGCATCGGTCAGATTCTCTGGGATGCTACATAAAGCATCTGTAGGTTTTCCGGTGAATTTTCGTTCTTCCTGACATGTCTAGGTTAAGGCAGGCACGGCTGGTGTGGCCATGCAAGGTTTTACCACAATATTAACCTATAATATATTACATACCTATAACGATTCAAATATTCTTACGCTATAAGAGGTTGTTAGGTGGAACAATTTGTTAATTCAACGGACACTATTGTCTTCTTCAGAGGTCTAGAACAACTCGAGATGACGTGCACAGCATTTAGGATTTTTTNTTTTTTGGAAAATCTAAATCGCTTTTGATCTCTCTTGCGCTAATATTGTGCACGTTACTTCAAAGTTGTTGCCGTTGTACTTTTCGATTTTATGATATAATAGATTAAGATTAATTATTTGAAATAACCTTACAATTTATATGACCTCTCATATCTGATGACTGTTCATGTTTAAAGTCATGGGCCGTCCGATCCTGTGAAGGTCCCTTTTGCCACCAGTCCCATCTCGAGCAGAATTGGAGCGCGCAAGGGTTGCAAGTCCTGCCCTCCTTGCAAACTTTTCCTCGGCTAGAAGCCTTTTCTAGGCACTCTTACTAGATTCGATAACAGTTTTTACAGCGTCCTAACGAAATATTCAAGATGTACTCAAATTGCATGCGCATACTTTTTGCCGGTTTTTTTTTTGTCTTCGTTCTCTTTGCAAGTACGGAAGCAGCAAGTCCGCAGAATAGTTCATCAGCCAACTTGCCAACGGTGAGCGCTGCCTCTGAACAGGATTCCTTGCCCTTTTTTCTAATAGAATCGAAGTTTATCAATATTTGGAACTGTTCGGAAATTGGCTTTTTTCGTAACTGGGCCCTGGAATGAGTTATGAGAAGACTTGGTGAAAGATGGAAGTGTTTACTTTGTCTCCAAAAACAAACATCTTCAAAGCCCTATAAACAATTCTGTAGTGGATAGCAGTCCACAGAATGGGCTTCACAGCAGAAATCAAAGCCAGATGCAAATGTTTACAATTTCAGAGAAGACCAACAAAAATTGGAATTTTTTTGATCTTTACTTTTCCTCTCTGATTCCTAGCGCTTCTTGATCTCCAATATCGATAGGAGAAAAAGACGGTGAAGGAGGAGAGAGCCTGATAAAGTCAGTCTCAGGCTTGAGACCCATATGCTACTCGGTTCAACTACCATGAGCACAAATATAACTAAGTGAATGGTAACAACCCTTACCAGTTTCACGCATACGGATAACTGGCAAACTTAAAATGGACACGTGGACCTTAATTTTTGGCATGGCTATGAGAGCACCATATATTCAAGGAGCGTGCACTGCAGCTAACTTAGTTTTTTCTACATGAGGACTCTCACGAAAGGGTTAATATCCGCTTGATTGTGTGCCAACTACCTCCTGTCCAGCTCAAAAATGTTTCACACGTTGAGACCGAGACATACCGTACCCTCCAGAACTTGTCGTCAAAGCGTACTTATCTCGATTTAGGTATTTGTTGCTTGGAATATTAAAAGCAGGGCAGTAAAGGGGTCGCTTAGTGCATAGAGAGAATGCCTGACTGCTTTCCCAAGTTCAACCTTGATTCTTGAAATAAGACTGCGCAATATTTGTTCTACCAAATCGGAACCAACTAAGGTCAAAGCGTGCAACATCATACACCTTTTTTGATGATCATGAACATGTCTTACTCATTTTCCTTGCTTGAAAAACTTCGCGCTATGTACGAATGTTGTATCCAGTTACTCTTTTGTAACTGTACATATTGGTAGTAGGAAATACCCAGTGTCTCCATATTCCTAGGAGCCTGATCACGCCAAAGTGGATATCGATAGCACTCCCGCGAAAACAATCATGGAACGGGCGGGAAAGTGCTACCCGTTAATAACTCGCCTTATAGTATGATCCTGTGTTTTACGGTTGATTCGTCCACATTCTTTTTCTCAATGCATTGAAGCTGTTTTCAGTTCTACGACAACCCACTTTTCTCATTTTTTCGCGAATTCGGGATTATTTACCCACTGCTAGCGCTTTTACTGAAGCATCCAATTTTATTGAGTTTATGAAACGATAAGGCACATTGATGAGTTATTCACCGTCATGTTTCATCACTCTTCGCTACCTTTCCGCCAGACTTCTGATTCCTTCTGCGAGGAATTCTTCCCGCCTTGACCCGAAAAAGTTGCTCAATCATTGATCCATGTCATCTTCTTGGGAAACAGTTTTTCTTGCATGGCTTTCGAAAGCGACAAAAACGGTATTTTGTTGGCGAAAGGTCTGGGCTGATTCGTGGGTATGGGAGCATTTCCCATACATGGTCGAGAAGTTTTTGGCGAGTCACCCTTGCGGTGTGTGGACGAGAGCTGTCGTGCAGGAATCGAATCGTGCCATGATTCGGGCATTTTTCTGCAATTTTGGCGGTTAGTCTACCCGGCTGTTGGGAGTACAGGTCTGCGGTAAGGGTAACATTACCTGGCAGCACTTCGTAATAGATGAACCTTTTGATCGAACAGAGATCGTGACCTTCAATGGATGAAGACCTGCCTTCGGCTGCGTCACGGACCGCTCACCCTTGTCAACCCTGTATCGGCGGCGCTTGATTCTGACGTACAGACACCACTTCTCTTCTCTTGTGACAGTCAACCATAGCCAGTCATATCTGCCTCTTTACGAGAGCAACTGAGTGGCCTCGGCACGTAGGGCTGACGATCGCGCTCGATCAAGTAATGGGAGTGCCCACTGCGCCACTTGTGCAGCTTACCTAACTAATGGGGTGGTCAGCAATGGTGCTCAAGCGAATAACCAAGGCTTGCGCTAGCTCACCGTCGTTTGCAACGAGCTCGTCTCCACGAACTGGCACAAGCGACCACTGTCGACTTCAGATCGGAGGCCCCATTGGGCGGATCAGGAAGATAGGTGTATCCTCCACATGAACGCTTGAACCAAGTTGGGTGTTCGAACACCGTACCCTCTCCAAATGTAGCATTAATACGACGACTGCAAGAGGCTGCTGATCCGAAAGACTCGAAGCCGTACAGCGGAAGGCCGCGAATGTACTCTTGCGATACATGCCTTTTGCAGAAATGAGCCTTAACAACTGATATAGCACGTATACTTGCATACAGTTGTTCTTTTCATATTGATTTAAGCCAACTTACGGGGATGCGCCACACTTTTGGAAAGAGCTATTAGAAAAGAACCGCGAAGACTTTACAACAACCTCATAATAAGGTTTCATTGCTCTTCAGTTCCGCAACATGCTATGCTTCTGTTTGGAGTTACACCGAAAAACGTTCTCTAGAAAAGACTTCCAATTTATACATGCAAAAATCCTCGTTACAATTAATAGCTCCCTAGTCTATCCTTGGGTCCTGAAGAGGACAAGTTGGTTACTAATTTTTTAATGCGGCTTCCTTGGTGGCCAAAACAAATCAAGTTGAAAAGGTGTATATTTAATATTAGGAGCAG